CAGGCCCATTCTGTCGGTCTGGAAGGTGTTTCCGCTTCCTCTGAGTTGTCCTGCTGGATGTGGAGTTCTTGATTCCGGAGGGTCTTCCGTAATGAGGCAGTTCCGTTCTACTGCCTGAGATCCAAGGTGTTCTTGTCAAATTCCTGCTGGGAGACGGACCGTAGGCAGTACTCACTAACAGTCACCATCCGGCTTCCCACAGCCAGACGAACCAAGGCCCAAACATTGTCAGGATCTTTCACTTTCCCATACAGGCCTCGGTGAGGGCCAGAAAGAACCATTACAGCTCCTCCAGGCACCAGCCCTTGAGGCTGATCTTCCTTATCCTTCCCTTGCTCATCTGGCCTTGTCATGCGGGAGGGGCCAGCAGGGGTCAAGGCCTGGGCCTCGATCAGGTTGGCACCCAGCCCTAATTCCTTAGGCCTCAGTGAGTTAACATGGGGCTTCACTACTTGATTGAAGGTGTGACCGATGCCCTCGCCAGGTTTCCAGCCCATGCCCTGAAGCATGGCCAGCCCATAGGCCTCCACGGGGACCACCTCATAATTGGCCTCCTCTGGCACTGTCTCAGCCCGAGGTTCGCTGTCTGCCCCTTCCCTGCTGCGGGTGCATTCTTTCTGGATCATGGGTATAGCAAGCATGGGGTCAACACCCACATTCTCTCTCTCTCCCAGAGACTTCTTGGATTCCTCAATGAGCTCCTTCACAGCCTGGGACAGCATCCCATCCACCAAGGCTCCAGAATCTGTGCATGGCCCAGGTGACCGGGCTGGTAGCTGCCTGCGATAGCCATTCTGGATCAAAGGGATGATGAGTTCCTTGGGGGCTTCCTGGGGCTTCACACTCTGCAGCTCCCTTCCTTCCACGGATTTCAAGAAATCCTTCTCCTCCGGGGGTGGCCCCACGCCATCTCCAGAGTCAGCCAGCCGCCTTCGGGCTGACGTGCGAGTGAAGCCGAATGAAATTGGGGCAGTGGAAGTGGCAGTTAGTGGCAAAACAACCTCTTCAGAGTCGGCAAAACAAACAACCTTTTCAGAGTCCACCATCTTGCCCTTTTTCCAAGATGTGCTTTCTTAGGAAAGCATTTCTTTTAACTCTGTGAGATCTTTAGCAGTTACTTAAACACACAAACACACTTTAAATTTCTTTTTTTTTTTTTCCTACCTCTTATGTTCTTGAAGATTTTGGGTGATTGTTCCTGCCCCTTGTTCTAACACCTCTGCTAGCTGAAGTCCAAAATTTTATCAAAAAAACAAAAAACGAAAAAAACCCGCAGAGGTTGAAGTGCTAAAATTACATAAAGAATATTTATTTCGGCTGGGTGCAGTGGCTCACACCTGCAATCTCAGCACTTTGGGAGGTTGAGGTGGGCAGACCAAAAGGTCATGAGTTTGAGATCAGCATGCCAATATGGTGAAACTCTGTCTCACTAAAAATACAAAAATTAGCCAGGCGTGGTGGCAGATGCCTGTAGTCCCAGATACCCGGGAGGCTAAGGCAAGAGAATTGCTTGAACCCGGGAGGTAGAGGTTTCAATGAGCTGAGATTCCACCACTGCACTCCAGCCTGGGCGACAGAGCAAGACTCTGTCTCAAAAAAAAAGAAAGAAAGAAAAAAGATAGATTTAAAAATTTTGCAGAATTTAATGCTAAACATGAAGACACAATTGAACATTATTTAAAATCTGTGTTGCTTCTTATTAAGGTACAATACTATAAAGCAAATCCTTTCTTATTCTGTTGAAGTACTTTTCCATAAATTCAACAGCTAAGAGGAAAATGCTAAAAGAAAATGGATACATAAAGCTAATGTATCTATAAATATTAGAAACCAACAACATATATAGTTAAGCTAATGTAATATACATAATATACAATTAATCAAGAAAATGTATATATAAAGCTATCTAGCATCATATTTATTTCCATTCTCATCAGCAGGCTTCAAAACAGTTATGTTTTAATAAATAACAAAAAAGAATTATTTTCAAAAGTATTTAACTCATTGGGAAAAGTAATCAAACAATATCATTATAACCTTTGTGAGCTTCTCTGCAAAGTTACTTCAGTTCCTTAGTAAATTTTGGCTTAGTTTATTCCACAGTTTTTATAAAAAGCATAAAGAATCTCTTCTCATAAAATTAGAAATGTTATTCTGAAACCCACTAATCCCAAATCACAAGATGCGCCAAACAATACTTAAAGTTTTACAAGATGCTTCTGAAATCATACCTTCTTTAATTCTCTCTTCCGGGCTTCCTTTCCTTTAAAAGAAGAGAGGGAAATATAATAAAACTTTTGAATCTTGAACATTAGCATTTCCTCCAATTTAATACAGGCAAGTCTTTACTATGGGGAGTTACAGTATGCACTGTAAAACAGCAGCATCTTTGGCCTCTATCCACTACATGCCAATAGCATCCCTCAAATTATAACAAAAATGTGAACACATTTTTGTTTAACGTTTCATAAAAAACAACTGAGTCTGAAGGAAAAGGATAACATAAAATGCTAAACGAGGGCTTGCAAAACTAATTTGCTCAAAATTTCAAATACAAACAGAAAGCTTTCAGCCAACTCTACCGTGCAAGTCAATCAAATTTGAAAAATACTGGTACTAATTTTATTTGCATGTTTAAAGTCTTAATCATGTGCCCATACAAACACTGAATATACAATTTATCCCTCTTATCACTGCTCGTCTTGTAATTAAGCCACAGGGAAAGAAATCCCCTAATATTTGCAATTTTTAGCACCATCCTACTTTATCATTCCACACTAATGGCCACTTACGGGCTTGGTCTGTGGGGTTCATAAATTTTCCACTCTTGGTGGATGATGTAGATCTCCGTCCCATGTTGACAATCTGTATGGTTTACTTGCTCATTAAAAAAAGAAAAACCTGTGAAGGTGAAGACAAAGAAATAGCTTATATCTCCTATATTGATTTCTTCCTTTTTCTAGTCCTTACCAATCTCTGAAAAGAAACATTCCTTTAATTATAAATTCTGTGAGACCGTTCTTTCCTTAGTTTTGACTTTAATGTCCAAGAAAGATGGCATCAACTTTCTTGACCATGAAAATTTAGATCTCTATCATTCTTTAGAAATATGATGAATGCGAAGCCCACTTTGAATATCCTCAAGTCATCAATTTAACCCTTTTTTATGGATACAACATTGACTATGTCAACTGACACACAAAACTAGAAAATGCATTAACAGGTATGGCACAAACCACGAACATCAGAAGCCATTAGTCCTTCTACTATAACCTCCCTTTACTAACATGTAATTGTAAACAAAAGAAGAAGGGAATAAGTGTATAGATCTGGGCTCAAAACAAATACCTCACCCCTCCCTCCATGGTTTTTCTTGGCATGTATCCTGTACATTCTCAACACCTCTAAAACAGTAAAAACTCATTAATTTACGCATATTTAATTCAGATTCAGTTCTAATTCGGACATAATTCTTGACTCTCAAGAGTTCAAAACACAACTAAAAATGCAGATATTTGAAATTAGTGCTATATTAAGAGCTCCTCACAACTTAAATACTAAGACATATATTTTCTTACCAATACCTGACTCCCAATATATATTTAAGGTAATTAAAAAAAACACTTATGTTTGAGGAAAAAACGTTTTGTAAGCTAAAACTTTTATTAACACAATACACTATTACATGTCTTCTTCCTCTTTATTTCGAAAGAATGGGACTTAATTATTTGAAGCCCAGTCTTTCCAGTAGTAAAGGCGGACAAATTTGCTTCCTTTTCCAAGTAGGCACTTTTTAAAGGTAAGAAAAGGAAGATTTTGTCAGTCGAGTGTATTACAGTTAATTTCTCTTTTAGCAAGTGTTCAATTGCCCCGATTTCCGCCAGATGTTTCAGAGCTGTTTTGGTGGCAATTATTTCAAGACGGCGGTGACAAAGGCTCTAATTTTCAGCTTTATCTAAAAAACGGGGGACATCAATTACTTTACAACAAAGCTCTGATGATACAATGGGATTACAAACAAAATATCCTGTGATGTTGGAATCACTATTTAACTATAATCTTTATAATGGATCTATATTCCTGGCCCATACACCCTGTCAAGTGGTTTCCTTGTCAGAAAAACTGGGTGGTTGGAAGGTAGCAGGGAGGAGGAGGTAGGGAAGGAGGAAAACAAGCAAAATCAGTACAAATCCAAGCTCCCATCTTTGATTGGGTGCGTTTTTGTACTCCCTTTCTCAAGTGTCCTCAGGCTCACGTTCTGAATCTCCTCCCCCACAAATGAAACACAACGAATTACAGAGAATTTTACGGAAGACACTGGAGCTTAAGTCTGCACAGATTCGTTTTTTGTCTACAATCGGTGGTGGTGGTGGTGGTGGGGCGACTGGAAAATCAGGCCAAATAACCGTTGGGGAACTCTTAAATAGCCAAAGAGGCTTCAATGACATAGGTCCAGGTTCACCAAAGGAAGCAACAGCAGCAACTGCCGAAACCATAGCGACGGTTGACCGACCATGACTCGAGGTACGAGACGTGAAACCTAAGGCTACCAATTAACGTGCATAGGAAGCCGCCCCAACCGACCCGAACGAAGCCAACCGCGTAACCGCCGGTCGCCGCGCCAGCCCGGGCCCAGAAATACCCCAGGCCGCAACCGGGAGACCCCAACAGGGCAGAGGAGGAGCGGCGCAAAGGGGCTGGGTGTCCCCGAAGCCGCTGCGCGGGCCGCAGAAGGGACGAAAGAGACGAGGAAGACTAGAAGAGCAATCCCATACACTCACACTTCTGCTGTGCTCCCAGGACTGCGAGAAGCGGGGAGGGAGCGATTCCCGGCCTCTTTTACCAGGTAAGGGCCTTCAACTCGGCCTCTCGGTCATCCCCTCAGCTACCGCCATCTTGAAACCTCGCGCCCCTCCGCAATCCTTACGTCATTTCCCATTCCTCCGTCCAGCCTTCTCTCTGCGTAGCTCAGTCCTGGAACCATAGAGAATACCCGAGAATCCAGGACCAGAGTCGCTTCCGGCTCCATGCACTACCCAATTGGTTGGTTGTCGGCTAAGAGCCCGCCTCATTGCAAGTATCTAGTACAATAGGAATTAGAAGACGAAAGCTGCTGTCTGATTGGTTGACGATCCTGGCTCGAGTTGGAGGCGTTCGGACCCGGTTGCTGGGATCTTAGTACGTTGAGCTGTCCGAGAACCGTGCGTTATGCAGATAGAGAAGTGTTCTGCGTTTTCTGTTTCTCAGAATTACTTTAGTTTTTGGATTTTTATGTTTTTTTATGATGCAGGCAGGTGCCATCCTTTAGGGGTGTTTCCGTTTGTGAACGAATCCCTAGATAACATTTGCCACTGAGTTTAATCTGCTTTGTAAGCATCAGGTTATCCCATGTGGGCGGCTGGTACGTGTGGAAATTTAATAAGACACGCAGAACGGAACATTTGTAGACCTGAACAAATAAATCAACACCCTTGTTAGAGTCGCAAATTGCTTATACGGGCGGTGATTTATTGTTTATTACTATTGTTTTGAAGAGGATATGTGGGAGTACGTATGCTGTCGGTTTTAAATTTATGAGTGACGAAGTTGATCTCTATTGGCTCTATTCCCGACTGGTCTTTTCATCAGCCAAAAGTCCTCTATGATGTCACTCTACGTACAGGATTATTCACTTAACTCTAGCCTTCGTCCTTTCCCTACCTCTATTCCCTCTTTTCATACCTTCTATCCTCTCCTTCCCTGAGTCTAACCCCACTTATTTCCCTTAAAGGTAAGCTAAAACATTTAAAAAATTATCTTACAGGACACACTTGGTTATTTGTAACCTTAACCTGAGTATCCTATGTAGGAAGGCTATCCTTACCATCAGTTATAAATATTTCAAATGTTGCTGGAGATACATATTAATTTTTAGCAGAATCTTTAAACTGCCCTTAGCGGTGTAAAAGCATTACTACCATTCCAATACCTAAACTTACCTTTGTGTTAGGAAATTCTTGATTTGACTTTAGACTGAATTTGAGTCTCAGAAAGCAATGACAAGCTCTTATAGGTTAAAGCTGATAAACCAGGTAATACATGAAAAAGAAAATAATGTTGAATGTTGAAGGTGAACTAAGTTGTAATGTTTTGCAGCTAGTTTTTTTTTTTTCTTTCCCTGCACCATAGTAGTGGTCATAGTTTTGCGACTAGTTTTGAAGAACAATACTGGAAAAGAAAGAGCAAACAAAGTGTATGTTGGAAATAGTAAAGTCAGATAGCTAAAATTTTTCACGTAGCTAATATTTTTAATATATGCTGAGGAGTTTTTATTTCAATACATTTCTTGTACTTGGATGGGAGACTCAACTATAACAAACACAGTCTGGCATCAACAGCATTTTAATAATTTTGTCAGTATAGACTAAAAGAGTCCTCATGGGAATTATTCATTGGCAAAGGATTGAGAAAACAAACGTGTTTGCAGAGGTTCAGCTGAACCATTAGGCCTCCAAAGACTTTGGCGCTTTCTAAAATTAGGTAATTAGTGAAATGGCCCACCTAATATGTCATGTAGCAAAGGCAGCTGCCTCCTTTTTGCTAGTGTTGAAAATGAAATTACGTATTTTTTTCTGAAAACTCATGTTATAATAAATTGTGATTTTCCTTTAAATGACAAATGCTTTAAAAGTACTGACCTTCTATTCTGCATCCTTAATGCATTTTATTCATGTGTAGCTGTGCTTTGCTTGCTTGTCTTTTAAATGTTTCAGTGTTTGAACATTCACTTGCGCAATATTTAATCATCACAATTGGTCAGGGTTGATTGCAGTTATAGAAACAGGACCTTTATGTTTTTAGTTTTGATCTTTACCATTTTAAAATCCATCCAGTTTACATTATGTAATTAGTAGATGTTTACAGATCTGCTTCCTGTACTAATTGAAGCAAATTGTTACAAACTGTTTTTCAGTCTCTTCCAGTTTACAGAAAACCAGATTTACTCTGATGGTCAAAAATAGGGTAGTATTTCTGTCCCATTCAAAGGCCCACAATTTGTTTCTAGGCAGAAGTTACTAAGTATGTCCCATTATAACTAAATCATGTTTGAAGCTGGTGGTAGAAATGAAAGTCTCTGCCAATGCAAAATTTAAGAATTTTTATGAAATTAGAGAAGGAAAAAGTAACCCTTATACTTGCACTCTATGATATCATTTACCCTGATGTTAATCTGGTAGAGCAGGGTGTGAAAACATCCAGGGATATAATCTTCTTTACCTCACAGGGTCTGGCACCAAGTGATCCAGGCACTGTTGACTCAAAACTCATGTAGTCATCTAGTCTTGGCATCTCCAGTTTCCCTCTCCAAAATGTTTATCCTATTTAAGTCCATATTGGAAGCATGTAAAAAATGAACCTAATCAAAGAAACAAACACATTGCTGAAAAGGAAGCAGAAAAACATTCCAGTGCAAATAAAATGGCTGTTCATTTCATTTGGTGTTTCACTGTATTGGTGACCTCAGTAATGGCATGATTATATTTTTCTGAGGCTGACTTGAACTCCACCAGATGCTTCTCATAACTTTTGATGGCTGCTTGAAGCTGTGTTTTTTCCACTGCTCCCAGGATGGCACGGACAATCATATCTATGCCAAGGCCAAGAACAGCAACTCCAATACTGCCAAGGAGAGAAGCACCAATTTGAGCTAACACAGTGACCAACTTGTTAATGATGCCAGTTGTGACACTGGAACCCACAAGTTTAACAGCGACTGCACTGGCTGCAGATGTAGCTTCTCCCAGAATAACCGAAATAACCTTTTGCACTATTGCAATTTTCTCTGTTTCTCTTTCCTTAATATCCTGAAGTTTTTTATAGAGGGTTGGCTCTAGCTTATCTTTTAGTGCTTCATCAACCTTTTGCAATTCCTTTTGAATTTTCAAGATGGCTTGGATGATGATGTCACAGTTTTCTTTGATGGTCCCATCTCTTTTCATCTCGATGGAGGCCAGCCTGCACCCCAAGTGCACATTTAAAACCTCTGTCAGCTTATTGGTGACATCGAAGCTGTCAGATAAGCAATCAAGGAGCTGCTGGTGAAGACGATTTACTTCCTGCCGCCTCTTTGGGTTCTCTGGGTAGAGGAAGTCACTTTGGGCCATATTTCCAATATGATTGCTGAAAAATAAAATGGTACATTTTTACTCAAAGTCTTAAAGAATATCTGCTAACTGTGTAGAAGGGACTAGGAAATCTTTTTCTTCATGAATAGCAAAGAAGCAACATGCTGTCTAAGGAGAATTCCTCAGAACGCTCAACAAGTTCTTTAAAACAGTTATGAAATTTGGAGTCAGTGTATGAAAAATGTAGGCAACATAATACAACCCCTTTGATGCATAAATTAAGGCATTAGATTTTGTGGTGGTGGGAAATATTCATGTTTATCAGGCATCTGTTAATATGCATGATTATTTCCAGGTAATATTTAATAACTTTTATTTGAAATATACCCCAATTTGAACTAATTAGCTTTTGATTACTAGAGCTCCTTAGTTTCCCCAACCCCTACTCACCACATTGACCACACCTACCAGACTGATTTCTCTAGCATTTGGAGTTAAACTAGTAGTCAGGGCCAGATGAATGTTAATAATTATGAATTTACAGGGCTATTTTTTGTGTTTCAATACTTGGTTGTTTTAATTTAAAATACTCAAATCACTTTATATTTTTCTACAGGCAAATTATTTGTTTTCTAAACCTAAGGGATATCCAAAGGCAATGTACATATTATGCTAGAATCTTTAAAAATTTTTGGGGGGTTAAGAGTATATATTCAAGACTCTATGGATTAAAATTTCATGTGAGAAGGTAGGCACTATACAGGGCACAGTATTAATCAGAGATAAGCACATGGTTATCTTTGTGATTTTCCATTTGCAAAGCTTATAAATTAAATTATTTAGAATGGTCTAAATAGTATTGCACCTAAACATTATTTAGATAAACTAGAGTTAATGTCAGAAAAAAAAATGCCATTTTACAAAAGTATTAAAGAATAAGGGGCTAGGCATGGTGACTCAGGCCTGTAATCCCAGCAGTTTGGGAGGCTGGGGCAGGTGGATAACTTAAGGCCGCGGGTTCAAGACCAGCCTGGCCAACACAGCGAAACCCCAACTGTACTAAAGATACAAAAATTAGTGTGGTGGTGCATGCCTGTAATCCCAGTTACTCTGGAAGCTGAGGCAGGAGAATCGTGTGAACCCAGAGGAGGAGGTTGCAGTGAGCCAAGATGGTGCCACCGTGCTTCAGCCTGGGTGACAGAGTGAGACTTTGTCTAAAAAAAAAAAAAAAAAAGTGGTGAGAGTACATCATAGAATTAATAAAATAAACTTGATAAGAGGCTTCAGTGTTTGTCCTTCTGGCCTGCGGCACCGTTTAGAGGAAACTAACAGTCATGCTCTTCTGTGTTAATTTGGATGAAAAACCTAAATTTGAGCCAATAAGATCATGATGCTCTTCAATATGCATACTTTCAGTAGCCTTCCTATGTGGCTGGCACTTTTATTTTTTTTTAATTAAACTGTTGGGAGAAAAGAAAGAAAAAAGTTCTCTATCCATATCCATGTGGAATCTGGCACAGTCTCTTTTTGAATAAACAACATTGTAATTAATTTGGACCCTATGTCTTGTAGCACATGGTTCTTATTCTGCTTAAGAGGAACCTCAGAGGCATGGGATGAAGGAATGCAGATGTTTTTCTTTCAAGAAAGTAAACTTGAAAACAACCTATCCTCCAAATCGTATGAATACAATTTGGAAAAGGAAAAGGGAAAATTTTCTGAAATGGTTTGGAACATAAATAACCACGTATGTTGTTAGATTTAGAAAAATGCACCAGAACCTCCTGGTAAAATAAATTGCCATGGTCAGAAATTCATTTTTTATCCTTAATTCAAATCCAGCACACATACACACATATATAGGCACACACATGTGTAACACACACACATTTCCACAAAACAATGCTTAGAAACTTTTCTAATCCAATTCCCTTTAAAGAAATTGCTTGTTGAAGATCTAGCAGATATTCTGTAAACTTACTAATGGGTTGCAAACTGTAATTTCATAAGCACAGATTTGGACTTGGAATTTTCTTTTTTTTTCTAGTAATTTTCCATTAAATGTTTGTCTTT